AATTTAAAAAGCCCCAGATGTGGGACATTAACCTCTAATTGGCATTTTAACCCATGTGTGTCACCTTGTGTGTCTGTACCAAGGCCAGACATTACAGGTAGAGATGAGCGAATCGAACTCGGAGAAGTGGAATTCGTTTCGAATATTAGGAAAATTTCGATTCGCGTCGAATCCGAAAATAAGCAGACTTCGGATGCGCAAATCGAAATTTTTCCTAAAATGGCGGCGACATGTGCGGCGACGGAGCGGGGATGTCTGGGAAGGCGCGCAGACAAGGCGCGCTGACCCATAATGCATTCATTCATGACATGTGATCGCATTAGCCAATCAGCAGCCAGCCAGCACAGTGTAATGGTCGAGCTATAAATGGAGGCCATTTTAGAATTCTCCATTTGCCTCCAGTCATTCAACAGAGGCAGACCTGGCTATATTCAGGGAGAGAGTTAGGGACAGAGAAACGTTACTTAGGGACACAGAAACGTTAGTTAGGGCCACAGAATCGTTACTTAGGGCCATAGAAACGTTACATAGGGCCACAGAAACGTTACTTAGGGCCACAGAATCGTTAGTTAGGGCCACAGAAACGTTACTTAGGGACACAGAATTGTTACTCAGGGACAGACAGAATTGTTACTGAGGGATACAGAATTGTTACTGAGGGCCACAGAATCGTTACTTAGGGCCACAGAAACGTTACTTAGGGCCACAGAATTGTTACTTAGGGACAAACACAGAATTGTCACTGAGGGACACAGATTTGTTACTGAGGGCCACAGAATCGTTACTTAGGGCCACAGAATTGTTACTTAGGGACAGACACAGAATTGTTACTGAGGGACACAGATTTGTTACTGAGGGCCACAGAATCGTTACTTAGGGCCACAGAAACGTTACTTAGGGCCACAGAATTGTTACTTAGGGACAGACACAGAATTGTTATTGAGGGACACAGAATTGTTACTGAGGGCCACAGAACGTTACTTAGGGCCACAGAAACGTTGTACTTAGGGAGGGACACAGAATTGTTACTGAGGGACAGACACAGAATTGTTACTGAGGGACCACAGAAACGTTACTGAGGGCCACAGAATCGTTACTTAGGGCCACAGAATTGTTACTTAGGGACAGACACAGAATTGTTACTGAGGGACACAGATTTGTTACTGAGGGCCACAGAATTGTTACTTAGGGCCACCAGAAACGTACTTAGGACACAGAATTGTTACTTAGGGACAGACACAGAATTGTTATTGAGGGACTCAGAATTGTTACTGAGGGCCACAAAACGTTACTTAGGGCCACAGAATTGTTACTAGGGACACAGAATTGTTACTTGAGGCCACAGGTCTTTAGGGACACAGAATTGTTACTTAGGGACACAGAATTGTTACTGAGGGACCACAGAATTTGTTACTGAGGCCACACAAATCGTTACAGAAACGTTACTTAGGGCCACAGAAACGTTACTTAGGGCCACAGAATTGTTACTCAGGGACAGACACAGAATTGTTACTGAGGGACACAGATTTGTTACTGAGGGCCACAGAATCGTTACTTAGGGCCACAGAATTGTTACTTTCAGGGACAGACACAGAATTGTTACTGAGGGACACAGATTTGTTACTGAGGGCCACAGAATCGTTACTTAGGGCCACAGAAACCGTTACTTAGGGCCACAGAAACGTTACTTAGGGCCACAGAATTGTTACTTAGGGACAGGCACAGAATTGTTACTGAGGGACACAGAATTGTTACTGAGGGCCACAGAATCGTTTACTTAGGGCCACAGAAACGTTTACTTAGGGCCACAGAATTGTTTACTCAGGGACAGACACAGAATTGTTACTGAGGGCCACACAGAATTGTTACTGAGGGCCACAGAATTGTTACTTAGGGACCACAGAATTGTTACTTAGGGCCACAGAAACGTTACTTAGGGCCACAGAATTGTTACTTAGGGCCACAGAATTGTTACTTAGGGAACAGACACAGAATTGTTATTGAGGGACACAGAATTGTTACTGAGGGCCACAGAATTGTTACTTAGGGCCACAGAAAACGTTACTTAGGGCCACAGAAACGTTACTTAGGGCCACAGAAATTGGTTAGGGACACAGAATTGTTACTTAGGGACAGACAGAATTGTTACTGAGGGACACAGAATTGTTACTGAGGGACACAGAAACGTTACTTAGGGCCACAGAAACTGTTACTTAGGGCCACCCAGACTTACTTAGGGCCACAGAATTGTTACTGAGGGCCACAGAATTGTTACTGAGGCAGACACAGAAACTGTTACTGAGGGACACAGAAAACTGTTACTTAGGGCCACAGAATCGTTACTTAGGGCCACAGAAACGGTACTTAGGGACACAGAATTTTTACTTAGGGACAGACACAGAATTGTTACTGAGGGGCCACAGAACTGTTACTGAGGGCCACAGAAACTGTTACTTAGGGCCACAGAATCGTTACTTAGGGCCACAGAAACGTTACTTAGGGCCACAGAAACGTTACTTAGGGCCACACAGAATTGTTACTTACATAGGGACAGACCACAGAATTGTTATTGAGGGACACAGAATTGTTACTGAGGGCCACAGAACCATTACTTAGGGCCACAGAAAACGTTACTTAGGGCCACAGAATTGTTACTTAGGGACAGACACAGAATTGTTACTGAGGGCTACACAGATTTGTTACTGAGGGCCACAGAAACGTTACTTAGGGCCACAGAAAACGTTACTTAGGGCCACAGAATCGTTACTTAGGGCCACAGAATAACGTTACTTAGGGCCACAGAATTGTTACTCAGGGACAGACACAGAATTGTTACTGAGGGATACAGAATTGTTACTGAAGGGACACAGAACCGTTACTTAGGGCCACAGAAACGTTACTTAGGGCCACAGAATTGTTACTTAGGAACAGACACAGAATTGTTACTGAGGGACACAGATTTGTTACTGAGGGCCACAGAAACGTTACTTAGGGCCACAGAAACGTTACTTAGGGCCACAGAATCGTTACTTAGGGCCACAGAAACGTTTACTTAGGGGCCACAGAAACTTTTACTTAGGGCCACAGAATTGTTTATCTTAGGGACACAGAATTGTTACTCTCAGGGACAGAAACAGAATTGTTACTGAGGGATACAGAATTGTTACTGAGGGAGACAGAAACGTTACTTTGGGGCCACAGAAACGTAACTTAGGGCCACAGAACGTTACTTAGGGCCACAGAATTGTTACTTAGGGACAGACACAGAATGTTACTGAGGGACACAGAATTGTTACTGAGGGCCACAGAACCGTTACTTAGGGCCACAGAATTGTTACTTAGGGACAGACACAGAATTGTTACTGAGGGGGAACAGACACAGAATTGTTACTGAGGCCACAGAACTGTTACTGAGGGCCACAGAACTGTTACTTGGGGCCACAAAAACGTTACTTAGGGCCACAGAAATGTTACTTAGGGCCACAGAAACGTTACTTAGGGCCACAGAATTGTTACTTAGGGACAGACACAGAATTGTTATTGAGGGACACAGAATTGTTACTGAAGGCCACAGAACCGTTACTTAGGGCCACAGAAACGTTACTTAGGGCCACAGAATTGTTACTTCGGGACAGACACAGAATTGTTACTGAGGGACACAGATTTGTTACTGAGGGCCACAGAAACGTTACTTAGGGCCACAGAAACGTTACTTAGGGCCACAGAATCGTTACTTAGGGCCACAGAAACATTACTCATAGGGCCACAGAAACGTTACTTTAGGGCCACAGAATTGTTACTCAGGGACAGACACAAGAATTGTTACTGAGGGATACAGAATTGTTACTGAGGGACACAGAAACCGTTACTTAGGGCCACAGAAACGTTACTTAGGGCCACAGAAATGTTACTTAGGGAACAGACACAGAATTGTTACTGAGGGGCCACAGATTTGTTACTGAGGGCCACAGAAATGTTACTTAGGGCCACAGAAACGTTACTTAGGGCCACAGAATCGTTACTTAGGGCCACAGAAACGTTACTTAGGCCACAGAAACTTTACTTAGGGCCACAGAAATTGTTACTTAGGGACACAGAATTGTTACTCAGGGACAGACACAGAATTGTTACTGAGGGATACAGAATTGTTTACTGAGGGACACAGAAACGTTACTTAGGGCCACAGAAACGTTACTTAGGGCCACAGAAACGTTACTTAGGGCCACAGAATTGTTACTTAGGGACAGACACAGAATTGTTACTGAGGGACACAGAATTGTTACTGAGGGCCACAGAACCGTTACTTTAGGGCCACAGAAACGTTACTTAGGGACACAGAATTGTTACTCAGGGAAAGACACAGAATTGTTACTGAGTTACACAGAATGAGGGGCACAGAATGTTACTGAGGGCCACAGAAGACGCTGTTACTTAGGGCCCACAGAACGTTGTTACTTAGGGGCCACAGAAACGTTACTTAGGGCCACAGAATTGTTACTTAGGGACAGACACAGAAGATTGTTACTGAGGGACACAGAAATTGTTACTGAGGGCCACAGAACGTTACTTAGGGCCACAGAAACGTTACTTAGGGACACAGAATTGTTACTCAGGGACAGACACAGAAATGTTACTGAGGGACAGCAGAAATTGTTACTGAGGGACACAGAATACGATGTTACTGAGGGCCACAGAACTGTTACTTAGGGCCACAGAAACGTTACTCAGGGACACAGAATTGTTACTCAGGGACAGACACAGAATTGTTACTCAGGGACACAGATCGTGTTTAATTAAAGAGTATGTCAGACAACATGCAGAGGAGTGGCAGAGGAGGCAATGTTTTTAGGAGCGAGCAGACGTGGGCAGCAGAGGAAGGGGTCGAGGCAGCACTATTCGCAGCCAGAGGCCAGTGCTCCCGGTTGTCATCCAGCGGTCGTGTCTCCAAACGACAACCCTGCCGTCATCGATTGGTTGGCTCGGTCGTCTTCCTCTTCCAGGTCACCTCTGACACCTACAGCCAACAATCGGTGGGTACGTCAGACACAACCGTTAGTTGGCATGGCCCGGGAGCAAGCCCACTGAAATCACGTGTCCTCTACCTGCCCCTGTCCTTTGGTGTTCCCTCACCAAGCGAAGTATCGCATGCTGTGGGCTCAGCCCCACTGTACAGTGAGGAAGAGCTAACAGAGGGCGGTCAGGAACGGGGGGAGACATCCGCCTCTTCAGCAGCCAGGCGAAGAAGTAGTGGCGAGGAGAGTGGCTCGGTAGCCGGTCTAGAGACAGGTCTGTCTCCTGACCCACACGCAGCCGAGGGGGCTAGTAGTGAGGCGGAGACCCTAATTGATGATGATGAGGCTGATCGCACTTGGCAGCCTCGTCGTCATCAGGCTAATGCTTCCGCATCATCAGGAGAAGAGGGTGGCAGCTTGGCAGCGAGCAAAACAGTCGGTGGGTTGCCCAGAGGCAGCAGGGTCGCAGCAGTGTCAGTGGAGGGCAAACGGCCACGGAGTACAGCACCAGCTCCCCTGCAGCCTACCACCACGGCCAGTAGTGGTGCCGGTGTGTGCACGGAGGAAGCAGCAGTCAGCCAGTGAGGAGTATCGGGGGCAAAGTTTCCTACTCGGCGGTGTGGCAATTTTTTGTCAAGCCGCCCGAGGAAGTAAACGTAGCCGTATGTCGACTATGTGGCCAGAAAGTCAAGCGTGGCCAGGGGGCCCCATGTTGGGACTACAGCGTTGCGGCAGCATATGCAGCGTCGCCATTTTGGTGGCCTGGGAAAACCGTGATAAAGATACGGCGGTTCTGTTCCGCCCCCAGCCCCCGCTCCATCACCCGCTCCGTTACTTGCTTCCCCGTCACCCGACGTCAATCGCCCTCTATCAGCCAGTCAAGGCTCCAACACCTCTGCTGAGGGGAGTTGTCGCTCGTTGCCATCTTCCGCTCGTTCAGATGCTCCTTCTCTGCTACTCCTCTTCACGGATTCCGTCAGCAGTCTTTCTTGGAATCCGTTTCCAGAGACAACAGTTTGCGAGCACGCACCCGACGGTGCAAAAGCTGAACGTCCTCCTGTCCAAGTTGCTGGATGTGCTGCAGTCCCTCCCTTTCCAAGTGTGGTGGACTCAGCACCTTTCCGAGAAATGATGGCTTGTGACGCGCCGCGGTGAGAGTGCCAAGCCGGAGTCATTTCTTCGCCAAAAAATGGCAGTGCCAGCCCTGCATTCACATGTAGAAGAGATGGTGGGCCAGTCTTTGAGCATGTCGGTCTCTGCCAAGTGCACGGCAGCGCCGACGTGTGGAGCTGTAACTACGGTCAGGGACAGTACATGTCATTTACGGCCCACTGGGTGAACGTGGTGCCGTCACAGCCGCACCAGCAACTTGGACAGGTCACTCCGCTTTTGCCTCCCACGTTTGCACGTCTTGGGTCACAAAAGATGTCCGCCTCTACCACCTCTTCTTCCTTCGTGTCCTCAGCCGCCACCCCCGTTGCCAAGTCCCATTACCGACCGGCATATCACATGTGCAGGGCGCAACGGTGTCACGCTGTGCGCTGCAACCTGGTATGCCTTGGCGAACGTAGTCACACAGGGGAGGAAAACTTCTCAGTGGTAAGGCTACGTTCACACTAGCCTTGTGTGTGCAGGCGGCAGAGAGGCGTTTGGGAAGCGTTTTTGCCAATTCTGCACATTACAGCACATGGTGCTGTTCTAACGGGAGCGTTTGCGTCGCGTCGCGTTGCGTTTGCGTGCGGCAAAACGGACGTCTCTGGACGAGTCAGGAGGCTTTGAAGCCTCCTATTCTCGTCTATGGTGCCGCTCCGCAAAACGCTCGGCCCGGCGTTTGCGGTGCGGTTGCGACGCGGTTGCGGGGCGTTTGCGGAGCGGTAACACCACTCAAACTGCATTATAGGCGTTTGTGGGGCGTTATTAGAGTACGCTCGGCAAACGCCTAGCAACCGCCGCTAAACCGCGCATGCGGCGTTTGCGGAGCGTTTGCCGAGCATTAAAAACGCTCAGCAAACGCCGCCGGACCAACGCTTGCCAAACGCTATAGGGGCGTTTGGCAAGCGTTGGCAAACAGCCAAGTGTGAACAAGCCCTTTATGAACAGAGAAATCGACAGATGGCTGTCTCCGCGCAAACTGAAAATCGGAACCATGTTGACCGACAACGAAAGAACATGGTGTCTGCTTTGCGTCAAGGAAGGTTGTGCCATGCGCCATGCATGGCTCACGTGTTCAATCTGGTTGTCAAGCGGTTCCTAAAATCCACCATCCCACTGCAAGACATCCTTAAAATGTCACGTAAACTTTGCATGCATTTCAGCCATTCCTACACCGCAAAGCACACCCTGCTTGAGCTGGAGCGGGGGGCAGAACGGAATTCCACAGCATCGCCTGATCTGCGACGTTGCAACAAGGTGGAATTCAACCCTACACATGTTAGACCGCCTTTACGAACAGCGAAAGGCCATCACCGATTTCCTGATGTTACAAGCGGATAAAGGTACTCCCCTGTGTAACTTCGATGTCAGCCATTGGCAGCTCATGCGTGACAACCTGCCGCTTGCTCAGGCCCCTTTGAGGAGGCCACGCTATTCGTGAGTCGGCAGGACTATGGGATGAACGACGTCATTCTTTTGTTGCACGTCCTGGAACAAATGCTGTTAACAATGGTGGTCAGGGTGCGGTAGACGTGGCGCACAGATCTCAACGCCACATGACCCCTGTGGGGGCAGGACAGGAAGAAGAGGAGGAGGTAGAGAGGAGGACATTTGTGCTCAGGAATTATTGAGTGAAATGGGTGGTTTTTCCACTCAGCGGACAGGAGTGAGTGGAGGAGCAGGAGCATCTGGTAGAGGAGGAGGAGGAGGAGACAGAGGACCCAGACGCACCGTGGCAGTATGCTGTGGAGATGGAGGCAGGGAGTCCCTCGCATTCCTTGGCACAAATGGCCCATAAGCATGCTCGGTTGCTTGCGTAGCGAACAGCCGAATAACATAACCATCAGACAGAGGGATGACTTTTGGCTGTCCACACTTGTTGCGGCAGGAGGTATTGTAACTCCGCGGAGGACACGACTGTCCACCCAAAGTGTTACCGAGAGACTACACGTTTGTGAAAATGAATCAGGCGTGGATTAGTCTGGATTTCAAACCACCATGTTCCTGACACAACTGACTAAATCCGCCATGAATCATGCCCCAAACATGTGCCACTTTCAGGTCTCCTCACACTGCTGGTGTGTTCCATTTTTTGTCATAGGATGCTGGCAGATTACGGGCCTCCCATAGCTGCTGCCAGGCCCCTAATCTGCCATGGGCCCCTATACCGCCTCCTCATGCTGCAGCGAAGTCCAGAGTCTCCATGGGTCCCTGTACGGCCTCCCATTGCTGCTGTCTCCATCGCCACACTCTGCCATGTGCCACTTTCAGGTCTCCTCACACACTGCTGGTCTGTTCAATTTTTTGACATAGGGTGCTGGCAGATTACGGGCCTCCCATAGCTGCTGCCAGGCCCCTATACGGGCCTCCCATAGCTGATGCCAGGCCCCTAATCTGCCATGGGCCCCTATACTGCCTCCTCATGCTGCTGCCAAGTCCAGAGTCTGTCATGGGTCCCTGTACGGCCTCCCATTGCTGCTGTCTCCATTGCCACACTCTGCCATGTGCCACTTTCAGGTCTCCTCACACACTGCTGGTGTGTTCAATTTTATGACATAGGGTGCTGGCAGATTACGGGCCTCCCATAGCTGCTGCCAGGCCTCTAATCTGCCATGGGCCCCTGTACCGCCTCCTCATGCTGCTGCCAGGTCCACAGTGTCTCATGCCATGTGCCACTTTCAGGTCTCCTCACACTGCTGGTGTGTTCAATTTTTTGACATAGGGTGCTGGCAGATTACGGGTCTCCCATAGCTGCTGCCAGGCCCCTAATCTGCCATGGGCCCCCATATACCGCCTCCTCATGCTGCTGCGAAGTCCAGAGTCTCTCATGGGTCCCTGTACGGCCTCCCATTGCTGCTGTCTCCATCGCCACACTCTGCCATGTGCCACTTTCAGGTCTCCTCACACTGCTGGTGTGTTCAATTTTTTGACATAGGGTGCTGGCAGATTACGGGCCTCCCATAGCTGCTGCCAGGCCCCTAATCTGCCATGGGCCCCTATACCGCCTCCTCATGCTGCTGCCAAGTCCAGAGTCTCTCATGGGTCCCTGTACGGCCTCCCATTGCTGCTGTCTCCATCGCCACACTCTGCCATGTGACCACTTTCAGGTCTCCTCACACTGCTGGTGTGTTCAATTTTTTGACATAGGGTGCTGGCAGATTACGGGCTCCCATAGCTGCTGCCAGGCCCCTAATCTGCCATGGGCCCCTGTACCGCCTCCTCATGCTGCTGCCAGGTCCACAGTGTCTCATGCCATGTGCCACTTTCAGGTCTCCTCACACTGCTGGTGTGTTCAATTTTTTGACATAGGGTGCTGGCAGATTACGGGCCTCCCATAGCTGCTGCCAGGCCCCTAATCTGCCATGGGCCCCTATACCGCCCTCCTCATGCTGCTGCCAAGTCCAGAGTCTCTCATGGGTCCCTGTACGGCCTCCCATTGCTGCTGTCTCCATCGCCACACTCTGCCATGTGCCACTTTCAGGTCTCCTCACACTGCTGGTGTGTTCAATTTTTTGACATAGGGTGCTGGCAGATTACGGGCCTCCCATAGCTGCTGCCAGGCCCCTAATCTGCCATGGGCCCCTATACCGCCTCCTCATGCTGCTGCCAAGTCCAGAGTCTGTCATGGGTCCCTGTACGGCCTCCCATTGCTGCTGTCTCCATCGCCACACCTGCCATGTGCCACTTTCAGGTCTCCTCACACACTGCTGGTGTGTTCCAATTTTTTGACATAGGGTGCTGGCAGATTACGGGCCTCCCATAGCTGCTGCCAGGGCCCCTAATCTGCCATGGGCCCCTGTACCGCCTCCTCATGCTGCTGCCAGGTCCAGAGTCTCTCATGGGTCCTGTACGGCCTCCCATTGCTGCTGTCTCCATCGCCACACTCTCTGCCATGTGCCACTTTCAGGTCTCCTCACACACTGCTGGTGTGTTCAATTTTTTGACATAGGGTGCTGGCAGATTACGGGCCTCCCATAGCTGCTGCCAGGCCCCTAATCTGCCATGGGCCCCTTGTACCGCCTCCTCATGCTGCTGCCAGGTCCACAGTGTCTCATGCCATGTGCCACTTTCAGGTCTCCTCACACTGCTGGTGTGTTCAATTTTTTGACATAGGGTGCTGGCTGGCAGATTACGGGCCT